AAAAGTATGAAGAGTAAAAAATTATTTTATATACATTATCATGTGTAGAGAATAAATAACATTATTTCTTATTAATAAACACTCTTCTTAAGTATTTAATTTAATGAAAACTGGTTAAAATTATTTAAAAAATATTATAGAAAACTTTTAAATTATTTAATTTTTAATATTTAGATTAATTATCAACTATTGTATGCTAAATAGGAATAGGAATAGATTTTATAAAGAGAATAAAGCGAATTTAATATGGTTAATTTGGTTTAAAAAAAGTAAATAAATATATATAAAATGTTTAAAAACATATTAATAGATGATAGTGGACGTAACTTCATTAAGAATTGACATATTTAGTAAGAGATAATGGAAGTAAAACACATCTCACGAAAGCCATTAAAAGTAAGTTAATTTTATTATAGTTACTATTTGGCTTCGCTAATGTGAGAAATGCCGTGTTATATATATAAATTTTATGGCTGTTTGAGGGTCAAAAGATTACGAAAAGAAGAGTGAAACGAATTTTTATTGCAAGGAATCTAAAAGAAAAATTTTCTATTAAAAACTACCTTAAAAGATAAGATAAAATAATAAACAAAAGTGTCAATTTTATTACTTTTTTTTTAAAGAGAAATTAAAGCTATCGAGACGAATTTTAACTCAATGTAAATATTGTTTTCTTATCGCTTTATTATAATAAAATTGTTTTATAAATAGAACTAAATATAATATACATGAATGGTTTAATGTAATATAATAATTACAACACATATAACTTTAATATTTGTTAAACTTGATATTTTATATTGAAATAATTTATTTATTTTCTATGATTTAAATTCTATGTAACTAGTGTTATAAACCGTCAAAGAAATGAACTAAATCGTTCATTAAATCAATAATTATTCACTATTTTTGATGGTTAATATATTTAGAATCCACTATATATACTATAAATTTGTTTATAATAAACTATATATGTATATAAGGTTAGAATTCTTGTTAAATTATAAATTTTATAAGTGTAAACTATAATATACTATACAAATTTTAGTATAGACTAGATATAACATATTTTAACTTAATTTTCTATATAAATTTATGCAAAATATTGTTCTTAAATCATAAATAATACTCTAAATTTACTTAAAAGTATTTAATATTCATCATATCATCCCCTCGTTTAGTTTAATCGATGAGCAAGTAAGTTATAGTTTTATTTGATTTAGAAGAAAAAAAGTTTTTTCGAATAAATAATATCTACATTACAAAGATACGGTTATAAATTATGTTATTAAATTTAAAACATAATAATAGGCTTATCGATTCAATAATAAGAGTAGCATAAATAATAGTAATCATTATTTAGATGATAGTGACTTTTTTCATGCATCCCCAGAGCCTATGATGAATATGATCAATTTTAAATAAATTTCACATAGATATGTGACAATGTGTTAATTAGACAGTGTGTATATAAAGGTAGAAATTATAATTACAAATAAATTTTGAAATAGTTGGCATTTATATTATTTTTAAATTTAAATTTATTAATAATATATAGTGTGTTGGCTATTTTTATTATAAGCCATTTTACGAAGAAAGGTATTTTAATATTTATATGATTTTAAAATAAATATATTATAAAATTTATATTCTTTATAGAGTTTTATATTGTATATAAGATCAATAGAATAAACTTTCTTTAAGTTTTTAATGTAATTTTGTTATAATGTACTGTACAATGCTTAGTCATTAGGAAGATGTTCTATTGAAGCCACTGTCCAAAAAAAATCTATTAAAAGTTTCATTATGAATTAAGAAATATCCTTCTTTATTTATGATGTACCAAAAAACTCTCTTAAAGACGTAATTGCTTAGCTTGTTAAGGACTTAAATTGGATACTACTACAATTTTCCTTAATGTATCCTCTAACTATACAAAAATAATAAAAGTTAATAAAGGTTGATCATTATAAATTTCATCTTTACAATATGAGTAACTTGACCCGGTATAAACGATGTAAACTAAATCAATCTCATCTAGACAATGGATACTAAGAGCAATAATTACTAGAAGTTACATATCTCTAGACAATGATTTACACCAAGGATCGGCTAATCTAGCAAATTGTAGAGGAAAACTGTGTAATAAAAGTCGATAAGAATGCGCAGCCCAATGTCGCCACTTGGTCATGAGCAAATGTGCAAGATTCTCACGCTTATTTCTGTATAAGTGATTGCAAGTTGGCGCCGAAGAGTTCATATCTCTGCTTATAGAAGGAATAATATTGTTAAAATTTACGAGAATAAAAATAATATGAGTTATTACATTTTGTGAAAAAAATC